AAATGTGTGTTTATTTTTTATATTCTTTTACGTTGTCGGTTAAGTTATATTGGTTAAAAGTGAATAATAGTTCGATTGAAGGAAGGCAGAAAGTTAATATCTTTCCTTTTAGAAAATAATATTTGGTGAAATCCAATTATTGTGCTTCTATAATTTAATCAAAACATGTGTGGTCTTTTTATACGAGCTTGAGAATTGAATAAACTTATAAATGCCATTAATAAGACATTAATAAAACTCACAAATTATTTCGCTAATCTAACGAAATACCCTCTAATCTAGAATTTCTGAAAAAAAATTACACCAATAACATGTGTAAGTAATTTGTTTGAAGAAAATTGAGTTTATCACTGTAGGGATTTGAATTCCGTAAATTCTGATTGCATTTTTTTGGTTTGAGATAGAATAAAGTGCATTAACGGTCGCCGATTTGTTCGGTTTTTATGATAACACGGCCTTTATGTCAAGTGCTCAAGTAATAAAAAGTAATAAAGGGGAAAATGCCTCATTTTTGAATACATTAAAAAATAGACTTGGAAATATATTCATAGTGGAATTATTAGAGTACCAGTTCTATGATGCTTCAACCAACGGCTTATGAAATCCGGGGCCAAACTTCATTTACCTATAGCTGTGATGGTTTCCGTGCACAAGGCAGGGTATAGCTATGATATTCTAAAACATTTGATACCTCCTCTCTGTTAGGATTTCACATAGCTATGACATAATATATTGTAGTTAGAGAAAACAATACCCACACACAATCAACTCATGGGTTTGCCAATGCCAGGAACTCCAATTTCGACCTACAAAGTTCTTAATATAATTTTGTCAAGATAAACGTTACAATCCATAAGTGAATAAAGGGTGATATTCATCTTGTTAAATTATTTCAAGAGACAACCTTGATTTAGTTTGTATTAAATAGATATATCGAATTAGATTCACATTAACACAAAGTGATCGGTAATGAAGCATGGCGACAAAGGTGAGATTGAATAGCAGATAATATTAGTGTCTCTTCAAATACATATATACGTACTCACCGCTGTTATTATATATATATATATAATGATCGCTTGTTGATTCTACCCATAACTGATGTTAAAGGCTGGATCAGTTTCCAAAATGGATTGTTGGGTGGGCATGAGCCAAGAACTATTGCTTCAGGTGTCCGAGAATCAAACCGTCGGTTTGACACGGTTGTCGTCTTTATAAAAATATACGCCTGTTGAATCCAGATATAGGTATTCAGTCGGTGAATAATAGCTGTATTAATAGCTGTGTCGGATCCAGGTAGGGAGTTCTAGGAGACCGGGAGCCCCTTAAAGAACGATATAAAAAACTTTCTCGTATGGTAGTCCCGAAATGATTTAGTTTGTGTCGAGTGAACTTTTCTCTCACATTGCAATGAACCATACGTTTTCAAACAACTTAAACCCGCCAGTCTTTATCTGGAAATGGAGACCGATGTCCCAAGCTTGTATTATGCGGTGTCTGGATAAAACCAGACTTTTTTTATAAAAATAATGTGTAGGTGAAATTTACCTTTCGTTATCAAGTACGGCACATGGGTCATTCATTGTAGAGGCCCCTAAAAGAACGGGGGTCGATTATCAGGTCACCCAACGGAAAAATTGACCCAAAATCTTACAAAGGTTACGTGTCCGGATAAGGAATTTTGACGTTCACGTCCAAACATCTCAATATTTTGAGCTGATATATTGAGACAAGGTAAATACACAATTCCTCTATATTTTGGCGCTTAAATTTCATACGTACTAAGACTTTTATTTTTGAGACTCTGTTCAAATCGGGATAGTCCCTTTAAACCCCTTATGTCTCTTTAATAAATAAACAATATCTATTTGATCTGTTTACAAATATTGTTAATGTCTGTAACTATATAATATATATATCCAATCTTTATATTTGATCTGTTTACAAATATTGTTAATAGAATAAATTGATAGGATTATATTGTGTTTATTTTTATGGTATTTGGGGCTTAAACTTGATAAAATGCCAGATAGTTATCATGGTCCATTGGCAACAGGGTGAGATAATTGTTTAACCTCCTCATATGAATCAACCTTACACCATAACATTCATCTGTAACTACTGACAAAATTCATATCACAGACCCATATTATCAATATGTAGCAGTAGCAATGGTGTTATTAATTTATAAAAACTAACCATGGCCAATCTTTGAACAGTATATTATGATCATCTACAAACTTCCACATTTGTTAAGTACGTTTGAAAAATTGGTTAAACATGTCTAAAAAAAACAACCTAAAACGTTTGCTTAAACATACATTATGCAAGAGCTAAATCTGCCTATTGCAGGTCTTTCTTTAGGACTGTAATGTTATCTTAATTATTAATTAGACATTTATTAAAATGACACGACCATAATCCACTCTCGATGACATCTGCTGCTTCCGATTTTCATAGATTTGAATACGATCTGCCGTTCAACATTGATGATTAACCGCGAAAATGACACGACCATAATCCACTCTCGATGACATCTGCTGCTTCCGATTTTCATAGATTTGAATACGATCTGCCGTTCAACATTGATGATTAACCGCGAAAATGGATAATCGAGACTTTGTTTATTATCGCCACAACGGCAACATGACAATCGAGGCTACAATGTCATTAAAATTGGTATTTCTTGACTTAGAGTGAAGTAATTTGACTGAAATTATTTAACTATTATAGCGAGAACTGTCAGCTCTTTATATAATCTTACATAATGTATCTTTAATTAAGTGATGACATAGAGGGATAAGCACTGGGCATTCTTCAAGAAGATTGTTGTGTAAATACCGGAGTTTAAAAACTATCAGGATTTCTAAATTAATATGAATATTCAACAATTATTATGATTATAAGTTGATTTATGACGACAAATTATTCTGGACTACGTAGACTTGTTGTCCCTTTGATACTAGGGACATACAAATCATAACTTGTGCCAAAAACAAAGTCTAAAAGTTCAATTTCGAGGAGTAAGATCATTAAAATTTATGGCTAGAAAGATACAGGGGTGATCCCACCTAGGTATAAATATCATCTTGACGAGGAGGTCAATAGATTATGATGACTGGAGTTTTGACAAGTAGCTTATAACAAGGGTCTTGTGGTATGAATCTTGATGTAACTGAATGATTCTCATGAAATTGGGGGTTGGGGGGGGGGGGGTGACACGTGTGTTGTATGAATCTTGATGTAACTGATTGATACCTGGGAAATTGGGGGGAGGGGGGCTGTGCTTTAGATCATAAGGTGTCATTGGATCAAATAGCTTGTAGCTTGGTTTCGATCCCACTCGGAAAGACTCCAAGAGTAAGCGAATTATTGAGATAAACATCCACCATATTTTAGTCATGAAATAACCAAGGCTGAGTTTAGTGGGCATTATAGTCCATTAGTTTAGTGACCCCACCCGTATTATAACAAATCACTGTTCATCTTCTATTTAAGATCTCAGATTAAAATGTGTTTACAAAGTGATTTACAACTATCAATATAAACAATGTGTGGTCTAGAGTGTCATGGGGTCTTGTCATTTTATCGTTACAGTCAAGATTGTAACATTCATCTGTTACCACTGCCAAAATATCCAGATCGCCAATACACTCCTTCATTGTTTTGTTTTTTTTAAATGGGTAGATCAGGTAGGCATTATTGTAATAACAAATAAATCAAAATAATTTAGAAGCTGTAATTTTGAGCAAAATGTTTTGGAATTTCCCAGTTTAGTTCTTTATACCGAGTAGTAACGCATAAAAAATAGTCTATTTCACGGAAGAGACATTAACTACATCTATTGGATTTAAAGATGTGTAAAGTTCAAGCTTATTGTATATTAATAAACACATATGATAACCTGTCATGACAAGAGGAAGTGCCACCTGTATTTGACTTGAGTTCATATGAATATTATACATGATAATGATGGTGACCTTAATGGTATGTCCGTAAACAACACTATTATGCATAGCCTTTAAGTCGTCCAGCGTTGATATTTTTATCCGAAGGGTCTGTTGCTAGAATCGACGAAGTACGCTCCAACACGCTATGCATAAGTTAGGCATAAGTTAGACTAACCTTGTGCATGAGTTCCGCATAAGTCAAGAACGCTAAAAATTCGCTGGGCATATGCTTGTATAAGTTATGTTCACGTTTGGGATAAGTTATATATTCGTTCAGCGCGTTAGAAGTACGTTATATATGCGCCCAAAAAGAGCGTCCTCTTGATTTTTAAACTCAGCTTCAGCGTATGCCAGCGTGTTGGATAATCATTTCATACGTCGGAATAAGTTGTCTAAAACGTTATAGTGTGACAGGCCCATAACGGATGAACACCAATTTAATCGTTTACTCATACACTATTTGATCAAATATCCTTATTAATATAATACGTTATTATTTATTCCTAATTGAACTGACAAAACGAAGGTGTTTACAGGGGTATAGCAAAGGGCATAAAAGGGGATGACAATGGAATATGAGTTCATAGATAAAATATAATAGAACTCATTTAATAAATAACAAAATATTATGAACGGTATTTCCCTAAATAACATGATATCAAGACACCAAAAGAAATTGAGAGGAAATCAAGCATTACCAAATAATCAACAGCTTTCAGTAAATATCTCCGTAAATATGATATTAAAATCCAAGTGGAATATTAAGATTTGGGTATAGATAGCCTAAGGGGGCAAGAAGTTAACTAAACAACACAGCAACAATAGTAACAATAGTATACTATACAGTGACTGACACCCGTCCAATTCAACGTATGAATACCTGTAAAATTATCAACAGTCGGAATTTTACTACTATTTTACTACCTCAAGTCAAAAGGATCCCCTTAAAGCTTTATAGTAGACACTTACACCGAGTTTATCCCCATATAGTCAGTAATATATACGGCGTTATCATATTATATAGATATATTTGATAGTCGTTTTACTTACCTTAATAACAATAGATGACCTTTCTATCATATCATTGATGTGTTAGAAATAAAATACTCCACATATTTACTTACTAGTATTGTATATAACATTCTTTGTATACTTGAAATAGTTTGACTTTTATATACAACATCTACATTTTCACTTTTACTATTTGATGCAACATATGGTAAAAGTTATTTGACATTCTTTAAAACAAAGCAAGATTTTGGTCACGCATGTGAGTCACATTGTTACTGGTTTAAAATTTGCACACATTTAACTACTATTTCCCAGCGTAAATTAAAAACATATTTGAATTACAAAAAAATGTTTGTATTAACGACTGGTAGTTTGAGTCGATATTTTACACCCGTTCATCTTTAGTGATCCGTTCAAAGTACTAACAAGGATGTGATACTTTCAAAGTGACTTTTAACAGTTTCTTTGTATATTCATAGCAACTGTACAATATATCTTTAGTCATAAACCCCGAACATTAACATCCTTAACGTAATTTGTATCTTACAAAATCACTGTGACATTAAAAAACACACCGTTACATTATTGTCACATACATGGTCTACTAACTACTTATATAAGACCAGAAGCTTAACCCCCAAACTGTAGCAATGGCGGATACATGTGGCGGGTCTACACGGGCTATATCAACTAAATTTGTATTCAAAATTCACAAATATCTTTGCCGATTTTAAACTATCGTCGAATCCGAATTTACCTGTTAGTACAGTGACGAGTGTCGTTAGCGAGGATAGGTTGGCTTTCTGGAACACCATATACCACTGTTCAATGAATTGTTTTATTGTACTACTTACACGTTCAATAAACAATAACTAAATGTTAACCTAATTTCTATCTGTAGAAAGATCAAGTTGACGATTTGATGACTCAATAGATGTGGAGAAGGGGTGGAGGATGGTGGTGGGGTGGAATGATTCTGGTTGCTGACCACGCCTGAACATAGATCCGCACTTCTGTAACAAAACAACCCTGTTAGCCATCATTATTAACTTGGTGATTTATATAGTAGCTTAGTACTGTGACTTAAAATATCTTGTTATTTATCGTGTCTGGGGAGATGACCCAACATATATACATGTACTATCCTACGTGAAGTGTGATATAGCAACTCACTTTTTAATTAATACCTATACAGTAGTCTAATGCAATCTGCCAACCTCCCTTATCTTGGTGATATACTATCTAGCTTTGTGTTATTTTATCCTCTAATCTGTAAAGTTATGGGTTGTTATAGATATGTCATGTTCCTACAGTTAAATATTCAAATGGACTCTCTCCTCTCGCTGTCTCTAAACTATCCAACACGTATCCATGGACTCGACACAAAGTAGGTCATTTCGGGACTAACATAATATATGGTTTAATTTTATTTCAATAATTCGCTTGCGCGTAGGGGTCTTTAGCAGTGGGAGGAAACCAGAGTACCCGGAGAAAACCCACGAGGTTGGACAGGCGACCCTACTCCTTGTCACCTACAACCGGGGATTCGAAACCTCGCCAGTTGACTCCATGACAGGCCTTATGATACAGCACGCGCGTGCTAACCATTCGGCCATCCACCCCCCCCCCCATCGAATACATCAACTATTAGATTATGTTTTGTTCTGTTTGTGTACTTGTCAAATAAATGTAAAACTGTTACCCAGATCAGGATCTTTTACTTCGAGATATTGATAGGTATATAAAAAACAAATACTTCAGTTATAATATTTTAATACTGGACTGACTCATAGAACAGCCCATATTACCTTTTCAATAACATTTAAAATGTGCGCTTTGTTGAAGTCAGGTATTAAAGGATAGATGATAGCCCCCATGAGACACCCACGTATATATATATATATATATGTATGTATGTAACGGTTAGTCTACACCGAGTGAAGCATGGGAGTAGGTAATGAAACACCTGGATGAGCACAAAGAAAATTAAAGAAATATACATCACTTAATGGCCCTGCACAGTTGAACTTCTTAAGTGCTGTGAGTTTACATTTCGAGTGTAGTATCACAAAGGTATCCAAACAAAACCCCCAAGACGTTGAGTGTTTCATTTATTAAAAACCATAAAATGTGTCAGCAATAAAAATAATATTGAAGATGTGACCTGAGCGATCACCTTAAAGAAAACTTTGTTATGTTTGAACCGAAACATAGAGAGTTGATTTTTCCATCTTTAGGTACATGCAGTTCCCAAGCCTTTGAGTACAAACCTAAATCAAACAAATACATACAAACAGGTTTTAAGAACTAGAATTTTGTAACTGTATAGTTTGTACATATTCCCACAGTTTTACTACAACAGAAACGTTAAAGACACAATGAGTACACTAAACTTGATGAAGACAAATTATATATATATACAAGTTTTGAAAATATACATACCCATCTTCTTTCGTATTTCCCACACTTAGACATGATAATCACACTAGATAAATAGCAAGTGTACACGACCGCTACATCGTATAAACATACGCGTCCATTCAGTACACAGGTTTCCTTTCCACCTTAGTTTTATTTCTAAAGGCCACGAGGAAAACTGCACACAGTGTGGAAGTTTAACGTATTCGTACACACTTCTATTGACCATTCATATAACCAATGTCAGTGAATACGCGCGTGTCTCGTAAAATCTTTAATGGTGTTGATATTAAAGGGACATTATGATTAGATGAATAAGGAAAATATAAGCAGCTCGTATGAGATGAAAAATCAAAGACTTTTGTTTACGCGCGTGCCTAATAAAAGTATCTGGCTCTTTATACAATAAAGAATGGCCAATAAAGGAAAGTGCATTTAGTAATAACTTCTCTCTTAAACGTTGGAATGGGATTCAAAACAGTTACCACCGCACTGAATTAATGTATGTTGGGGATATACATTGCAATAAATATATATTGAAATGAAATGAAAAGTGGTTTAACGCCCCATTGTGCTATGAGGGGAATTTTACCCCAACTGTCAAGGGAACTTGTTTTTTCGCCCTATCTAAACGACTAGACACTGTGCTGGTCAGGCATTCCTTCCTGAACCATTGACAATGGGAATCCACACCGGAAAATTCCGATGAACTTTGTTAGCCAAGACCTCCTTGACCCACCGCGGCTCCAAATATATATTGAACAATTTTGGAGGGGATATACATTACAATAATATGAAACGAAAAGCTCTTCTATGGCTATGCTGAAGAGAAGAGTGCTCAAGAGAAAATCATCTGACATCACGGCGTGTACCTTATTTCTAATCATTTCGGGACTAACATATGGTTCAATTTTATTTCAATAATTCGCTTCCGTTTAGCAGTGGGAAGAAATCAGAGGACCCGGAGAAAACCTACGAGGTTGGACAGGCGACCCTACTCATTGTCATGTACGATCGGAGAATCGAAACCACGCCAGTTGACTCAATGACAGACCATATGATATAAAATCGCACGCGCTAACCATTGGGTCATCCAACCCCCTTTAAATAAATAGAGTCCCCTACCCAGACCTTTCCCAAAAATAGTTTATACTTAAATTGAATTATATAAAGTGCATTGGTATGAATACACAATATAGATTTAATAGAAATTCATTGTTAGCAATGTATATCAAATATCCATTCGTTCTTCAATAAGTATAATCAAATTATTTATTTACGTGTTTTTTTCTGCACTAAAATAATCAATGATATCCAAAAAGTCCAATTTCTGAATAAAGTCACCTTCAAGGCTCAACAATGGCAAATTGTTCAGTCTCTCTTGCGTCATAATGACATGCTGAGTTTATTTAATTCGTTTCGAATGACTGAAAGAATTTTCACACAAACTGGGATGGTTAAAAACAACGCGTTTTGGAATGAATTGTGTAGTAGTTTTTAAAAAATCGGTATTCTAACTTTAAAATTAAAAGGGACCCCCCTCGCCTCGTGGGCCCTGGCGAAGGTCTGTCGCGTCCGCCATAAGCAATCCGCCACTGCATATATCTGAAATACACAACTAAACAGAGACAAACAACCCATCAAGATACACTAAAATTATATCTAAGCATGAACGTCCAAAGTTGTTAGTCAGTTAATTGAGTTTGACCTTACTACGGGGTGACACCCGAGGCCCACCCACCCAGAAGCACCTAATTATAATTGGTCTTCTGTGTTCCAGACAGAGAAAGTATGTCAGTCTAGAGCACGATACACGTCATCACTAGTAGATTTGAGAATCGAATTTGCCACAGTTTATGTGTAACATTGCCGAACCTAAACTTAAAAAAGTATAAAAAGTGTACCCCCCCCCCCAAAAAAAAAACCAAAAAAAAAACCAAACCTGGAACTAAACTTTGGACTCTATTCTCACGAGAGTTATACTTTATCAACAATCTTATCTTAATGCAATCATTGAACGTGATCTAAACAATTATATCATTCTTAATCGATATCTCATTCAATTACTAAATCAATATTACACAATCTGTTAGAGAAATATCAGGCTCTTGGCTAGTGGGGGACAAGGGGCCCCCGTTGAAAAAAATCGAAGGCGCTCTTTCCATTGGACGCAATACGAAGCCAACGGCCAACGAAAAACCAAATACACAATGCGAAGTGAGATTGGTTGGGGACCCACGACTTGATCCATGGGGCGCCCAAAACGGCATGATTGTTGGGGTGCCTCATGCCGGAGGGACGCCCATAATGCCAAGATTGTTTTTTTCGTCCAAACAAGGAACCGATCGCATGCCGACGCCCGAAGAAATCTACCATAAGAAAGCCAACTGGAGATTGTATTAAATTTTCTAGGTCAAATTCACGATGGGGATGGTATTGATTCAAGTTCGCACCAGGCGTCATAATCTTCAAAATTCAAACAAGTTACACTCTAACCCGATTCCGAACTTTTCTTCGTTTTTCTCATAAATTATTATACATGTAGGTACGCTAAAGTCGTATGTCATTTTCATATTTTCATAGTTCCTCTCCTCAGGTGCAAACTCTATTTTCCAATATATTTTCTCTGTGTGTGGGGGGGTGGGGTGTACCCAAGACCTTTCTCCGAAGGGATGAGCGTCCTCGGTGTCGTTCGTCGTGGATCGTAAAGTGCAAGTACATCGGCGCCCCCAGAAGCCCTTACCCCCCCCCCCCCCCCACACACACACACACACACCATTTTTAGGCTAGTTACGGGTCTGAATATGAATTATCGAACTTAAAGTGGGCTAGACTGTGAAAAATTAAAAGATTAAAGATTCTGTTTCCTAAAGAATGGAGATTGTCGATTCGCAATTTGAGTTACTGAGATTAAAAATTATCTTTACTAGAGGTTGAAAATCATCTTTACTAGCGATTGAAATCAACTTTACTGGAGATTGAAAATCATCTTTACTGCAAATTGAAAATTTTCTCTACTGTAGATTTAAG